AGGACCTTGCATTGTGACTTGTTGAAGCTCCCCCAGTTTGCCCTGGCCCATTTCTCCAGCCTATCAAGGTCCCTTTGAAAGGCAGCCCTGCCCTCAGGTGAGCCCACCGCACCACACAGTTAAATCACGCCCTTATCCGTAGGAAAATATCGTAGTAGTGGAGGCTGAAGGGCAGCATGGATCTGCCTTGTCTGCTTTTCTTCCACATCGCGGAACAAAACCACCTGCCCAAGAGGAGCAGCAACACACGCTCTGTCACCGTGTGCTAATTTTGATATTAGAGACTCTGAACTCCTTCCAGACCTGCACATATCAAATGGAGACTCATTTATGGTATTTCAAGATGTATAAAAAAAGCCAAGGGCAAAGATTCAGGTCTGCTAGTCCCAGAGAAAGACATCAGCCGAAGTCTGACCCTACCCTCTAAAACATGAGTGGGACATCGCTGAAGTGCGCAGCCACTGAACCTAAATGGGACTGGAAGAGACACGTACCAGCTAAAAGCAACAGCTTTGGCGTTGGACAGCTTAGGAAGAGGTTAGACAAACCCCTGAACCAGCCATCCCAGTACTTTTCCGTTTTCGACAGTTCAATTCGCCACGTGTATAAGTGCTCCTTCTTTGTCTGCAGGGAGGAGAGAAAAGGCTGCGTTAGTGATCACCCAGGTGAAAGAAAACGAACTCAGAGTGCCTTTTGGAAATACATATATATACACAAAAAATACTGGCTCCCTCTGGTGGATCACACACTTCCAGGGGATGACCCTCCTTGCTCTGAAATTTCTCACCAAATCACAGCCAAAGTACAGGAGTAAGAAACAAGAAAGTCAGCACGAGTTACACCTAAAGATCAAGAAAAGGCCACGGTATTCAGGGCACTCAATTTGCGATTTTTCAGAGGCATAGATGGTCTCAACATTCAGACTTGTCACTGAGGTGACGCAGAAATACAAGGGGTTGAGTTGGCTACGGCGGTTTTCCTCAAGGAATGCACAATCTTAGGTTGCAACCATCTGCACGACCTCCTGAATGCTACCGTGCCTTGGAAACAAACAAAAACACCACAAGGCTCAGAAAAAAGCATTTCTCATTCTGGTGGGAAGCCTCATTTCAGGCCACGTGCCTTAAATACATGAGCATCTCAGGCAAGAAAACCAAACTCAGGAAAGAAAACCAAACACAGGCTTTCAGGTAACAGTTCAAGATAGAATCGGTGGCGCGAGATGAAAAAGAAAAACAACAGTTACAATATAAAGTTTTAGGTCCCTGGATTTGCTCCATTTGATATTCAAATGCTTTGGATAACTCCCGGAGGCCACTCCTGCAGAAAGGCATCCTGCAAACACCAGCTGAAAACACAGCAAGAAATTCCCTACCTCTGTGTCATCTTCTTTCTTTCTTTTGTTGACAGAGCCTCCCCCTTCCTCATCCTCTTCTTCCTCCTCTTCTTCTTCAATAATACCCTCTACTATGGCTTTAGGACATTCAGGACTGGCAGCCCCTTCACACCTGTGAAAAGAAAATCAGAAACTGATTCTCTGCAAAAAAAAACCCCAAACCTTGACTTTAAAAAAAACCAAAAACCACTTTTTGAAACACCACTCTTGGTGGATTTTGCCCCAGGGAAATTTTGACCAGGTTTTTCCCAAGTGCCATGATTAGGATCCAGTGCTGCTGCCGGTAACAACTGCGATCAAGTGATAAAAAATTTGTACTTTCTAGGAGAAATTGTCGCTTTCAGTGCATTTATGTTCCGTAGTAACAGTATTGTAAAACAGACAAGATGATTTTAAGAGCTTTAAAAATAAAACCAAGAACCACCTACTGTTTGACTTGACCGACCATAGAAACTCTGGCAGACTCAAGATTTCTTATTTGTCCACTTTTTACACTAGGGAGGGAAAAAAAATATATATCAGAAGAAGGGCAGAAATATTTACTGAACAGATTGAGCACCTAGCAGGCCCAGAAACAGGAGCAAAACCCTTTTACAGCTCACTATTTCCCCAAAGCATTCCCAAACCTGTTCTCAAAGGGCATTCAGAGAGGCTCACACCATGTGGCCGACTTACTCGAACCACCTCGTTGTTGCCGGACCCTGTGAATTTAAAACTCACGTGGGAGAAGTGCTGAGGGGGAAGCAAGGAAATCCAATTGTACCCATTTCATTGCAGGGGACAGGGAGAGGTCAGAAACTCCACGGTATTCAGCAACAGAACCGTTGTGTAGTCCAGCCTACACACTTAACCACGAGGCCTCTCCCTTTCAAACAAGTTTGTAAGTAATTTGCAGGGAACTGGAAATAATTCCTGTTTCTCACAGGTGGGACAAATGTGTCCAGCTTCTTCTGTAATAGCCGGGACACTTAGGAGGAAGCTGCAATTCATATCGCATAACCTTCTACTAGAATCATAGAATTATAAAATCATTAAGGTGGGAAAGAGCTCTAAGATCGTCACGTCCCACCATCTACCCAACACCACCATGGCCACTAAAGCAGGTCCCAAAGTGCCAAGTCTACACATTTTTTGAACTCCAGGGATGGGGACTCCAACACCGCCCTGGTCAGCCTGTTCCAATGCCTCATCACTCTTTCAGTGAAGAAATTTTCCCTCACGTCCAATCTAAACCTCCCCTGGAGCAACTTGAGGCCACTTCTTCCTGTCCTTCCACTTGTTACTTGGGAGAAGAGACCGACCCCACCTCACTACAACCTCCCTTCAGGGCGTTGTAGAGAGTGATGAGGTCTCCCCTCAGCCTCCTCTTCTCCAGCTGAACAACCCCAGTTTCTTCAACTGTTCCTCATCAGACTTGTTCTCCAATTAAGAGAACAATTCTATCAGCTGAAGCTCTTCCTTCCCCAAAGCCTCGGCAGCTCTCCCAGGAAATTAATAACCTTTGAGACCTCTCTCTCCCTGTCAAATCAGCCAAGGAACTGGCGCCAGTAGTTGGGGAAGTGAGTACAAAGGGAGAAAACAGGCAAATTAAATAAACTTTGCTTCCTTTGGGAGTTGAGCTAAAAAGACAAATGATTTTGGAGACTGCACGAGCCCACCCATTACCTCCACTCGATGGCATTCTCAAGTGACTTGAACGTTTTGGGACGACTCCTCAAGAAGTTCTGCATGCTGTTTAACGCGTCCATGGCCGTACCTGAAACCAAGTTTTTGAATTTAATGGCATCCGAAATTATTGCCACGTCCCTCTATCCAGAACTGGCTACCAGGGAACACCCTCGGAGAGAGTTGGAGCTCACTGGGGTTTTACAGGGAAAGAAAACTTTGTCCTCCTAAGCCCACAGAGACATCTGCTCCCACATTAGAGAAATAACATTTGAACAGGTAGGGCATTCAGAGAGTAAGAAAAGGCAATAATCACTCATCAACACCATGACTGGGGATAAAAGATCAACGTGCAAGACTGAACGTCATCCAAGGGGACAAAACCCCATCCAAAGGGATGGAATCCCATCCAAGAGAACGGAATCCCACCCAAGGGGACACACACTTACCTTCCACCACGTCGATCATGCACAGACCCAGCAAACTCGGCACCAAATTTGCGACCGCCGTGTGCACCGCGATGGCTCCCCCCATGCTGTGCCCGATCAGCATGATGGGGGGTGGGAGGTCCCCGTACAGAGCTTCGACCACGTTTCCCACGTCTCTGCCAAATCCAGACAAAAGCACGGTCGGCATCTCTACCTCCACACATTTCTGCAGCGGATTTGTACAGCGGGAGGAGAAAGCGCAGCTCCAGGACAGATGTCTGGCTCCAAATCCTGTCTGCACACGCTCATTTAACCTCCCCCCGAGACAAGTTTATTCTCTTATCACTGCTTCTTCTAAGTACCGATACAGGAAATCATTCCAGCCAATACTTTCCTGAGCAAGCACATCGTTTCTGTTCTTATTAATGGAAAGCAGTCACTTAAAAAGAAATCCCTGAAGAGAACATCTCATGTTGACACTAGCTGGGGGGAATTTTAAGTAAAATGTGAGAAAAAGCTATCAAATCTTCTTGCATGGAAGTAGGGGTTAAGAAATTCACCGTTCTGAAAGGAGAAGCTGTTTGCAATCAAAGAGAAGAAATAAGATAAGAAACAAACACTGAAGTATGGGAAAGCTGGCTGGTGTGATTCACCAAAAAACCAAAAGGACAGCAGAGCTAATGACTGAAACCTGCTGAAGAGCCCTGTAGTTTTTCAAGACACCCAAACTGGCTTTCCTGACTAAAATCATTCGGAACTGGAGACTTGAGCAGTACTGCAATTAGAAAAAAAAAAAAAAAAAAGATTGACCAGCTTGTTTGCTCAGTCAGAGAAAACTGCTTGAGGATTTGATTAAAAAATAAAAATAATAAAAGAGCAGCTATAATTAAAGGCTAATATTTAAAGGTGAATCAGGAATAACTTTCAAGCTCATCGCTAAGAGAAGAGAAAGGTTTAAAACCAAATGGAACCTGTTTTCCCTTCCCGGTTGTGCTTCTCCAGCTCTAAAAAAAAAATCAACTAATCGTTTCATACAGCATCTCCTCAGGACAATAACAAATCGGGATCTGACAAGCCGTAAGCAGCAGCAATAAGGAATACAAGGGAAGTCAGAATACATTTCACACATGGCCTCCCCACAACAAACCGAGTGGATTTGTTCATAGGAAGGTTACAAAACCCTTCGTGCTTTAATTGTAGTCGCAGCAAAGAGCCCCTTTGTACTCCATGTGGACAGAACATAATGTGCTTTAGCAGTGGGGATTTTGCTTTCCTTACGGGGTGGATTTGCATCCCAAAGCAGGTCGTGATGGTTTGAAAAAGCAACTCCCTCTGCGCTTGAAGCCTCTGTCTGTGCTCCAGACCCTCTGGGGACACTGGCAGTGCAAGGCGAGCGCGTTCCCAACGCTCGCTCGAGGGGCCAAGGAAGAAGCAAACTGGTGATTTCAAGCTGAAATGCTCCAGTTGGTTATATCTGAGAAAAGCCTTCCCCTTGCGTTAAGAAATCTCTAGCAAATGCTACAGCACGTTGCAGGTTCAAAGTGTTCGTTGCAACGGAGCCACCCATCTTTAAAATGAGTTTAAAAACTGAGGGCACATGGGGAACGACTCCAGTTTGGAATCTGATTCAGCTGGGAAAATTTGAAATAAATTTCAAACTCTCCCAAAACGGAAGGAAAAAAAGGAATAACACTGGAATCACGTGAAGTAAAACCACTTTCCAGCTCCTTTAAGGTTGTGTGTCCTTATTGCTCAATTGAGAGAAAATAAAGGTTCGTGAAAAGTGAAATACTGAAGAGAGAGCATAAGCTTCCTTACTTTGACATAGTCTCCGCAGACAGATCTTCAGGATTCCTAACTTTTGTTTCTCCTGAAAGAAAGAACAACCCAAAAAAAAAAAGTAAAGTTCACGTATGCTGGAAACCTTCAGTCCCCTCAGGAATTAGAGCAGCGACTGCACAAAGCTTTTTTGGCACAGTTATTAAGGGCAAGCCTGCTGCAGTTAACATGAATAATTAAAAAATCCAGAACTAATAGGAAGGGTTGTCACTTCATCGCGTTACAGCTTACGAGTAGGAAACGCTCCTCATAACCACGCCATAATCACAATGTAACTTTAAAACTGAGGAACGGGCCTTATTTCTCATGGTAAAGACCACTTATAGGTCATGAAAATATGAAGGAGGAGGCTGGTGCCAGGAGGGAGAAAAGAACGAGTCCAGCGCTGGGGTGTGCAAAGGTGCGAGGAGTCTCAGCTTCTGGAGCATGAGGAGAAGCAGCGACGGAGCTCCAGAAGCCGCTTTTCCACCCCTGCTTCTAAATAAAAATCGGGATGCCTTAAGGATGGTTTCTTAGTCATCTCGAGAGGGACTCGTTACATCTTCTTCAAAAAAACCGAGGGCGTGTAACACGCTGACGTTATTTTAAATGTCTTTGTTATACTTACCATGGCCTCGGAGATCTAAAGCCACGATCCTACACTGAATCCTGTTAATGATCGCAGACTGCAAGAAGGCACAAAGATAAGATAATTTGCAAAATGCCACACCTCGGCTATGAAAGGATTTAGCAACGTTAAGCGCTCCCTAAAACACCAGCGGCGCGACAAAACCCCCTCCACTGCCAACAAAGAGGCTGAACTGAAACTGCGCGAGGCGTCGCAGAAGACAAGCAAGAATATTCCATCTAAACCATCCTTAATTAAGCACAGCTCAGTCCTTTCAACCCTCATTAACGCCGTCCCCAAGGACGTTTATTTCCCCGCGCATAAAGTGCTTCGTGTGTTTCCTGGGATAACGAATTCAAGCTCTGTAGCACGTCTGAAAATTGAAATGCGGCAAGGGGACCCCAGACACCAAAGTGATACCCCCCCCTCCGCTTCTCCAAGCCCCACACGTCACAAAATTAGTCCTGGTTATAGAGCAGACGCGAAGACAAAGCATCTGCTTTGCGGCACACGTTCAATTTGCTCTCAAAGAACAGAATTTTACAGTAAATGTACAAAATTAATTAGTCCAAACAGATCGGGGAGGGGGGAACAAGGGAGGGATTTAAGGCTGCAAGAGATTCTGGTTGTGTTTGTCCCCGACAGCTCAATTTGTGTAAATTATTTCAGGTATCGTGGCGATTAAGCATCGATGTTCGACAAAGGGAAGACTTCTGTGTTTAGGAATCGCTGATTATTCAGATAATAGCCCCGCAGGAAGCAGTGGGGGAATTTGTTGAGGGATTCTTACTAGAACCACCCATGCAACGGGCAGAGATCAGGAAAGTTTACCCAGTCCTTGTATTTTAGTTGTCAACTGCTACATGACCCTAACACGTGCTCTCCCAAAACCACAAGTTACTATTTTAGAAGCCTGGAAACCTCAATCTGCAAGGTGCTTACGCACCTGAGCAATAATTTAGCCAGTCAGATGAGCAGTTTGCTGCTAAAAAACAAACGATTGTGAGTAGGGAGTAAGGGAAAAGGATTGTCAGCATGATGCGAGAGAAGGGGAAGATTTCCAGCGCCCTGAGTTTTACCCCAGAAGGAGAACTTTGGCCAAGCATGAACACTCCTGCAGGCTGTTGTTTTATTTATTGATGGTTATCCTCGATGCTTGCCAATTTGTTCTTGGGAGTTTTTTTTGGGGGGAGAGATTGTTTTGTGGGTTTTTTTAAAGTTCTGGTTCATCTCAAACGTTTAACACTCGATCGCTCAGGACGAGCTTTCATTTCAAAATATGGAAATAATTCTATAGCAGCCACTCAAAGGGATGAGCTAACTGCTGCGGCGGTTTCTTTCTCAAGTGCAAGGCGTAAATGTGAATCCTGTGTATGATCTCACTCTGTTAATTGCTAACAGTAACAGAAAAAACCAAAAACCCAGCAACTGTAAGGTGCAGTGTTATCCCTGCTAAACTCAACTCTGGAGATTTTGAAATATAAAAATGGTATCGGTGTTGCTATCGGAAATAAAAAGCTCTAGGGAGGGTGGAAGTGTTTTGTAGGAAGCCCTTAATTCAGAAATACGTGATGTGTCACTTGTACGCTGTAACAAACCCACTAAACTAGCATTGGAGAAGACATCTATCCCCCTTGGCAACTAATAAGCTACAAGCAAGTAACTACAGGATTTACTAAGACAGAGATTTACAAGTTCAACAGCTCCAAAAGACCCACATCTGCACCAGTCTCTGGGTCTAAGTTACAAATGAACAATTAGGTGCAAAACTACTATTCAATACCAAAACTACGGCCCAGTTGAGAAAGATTTTCTTCCTGGTGTGCCCCATCATAACAGAAGATGGTTTATGATTACACCGTCAGGATTACTCAACAGGAGTCACACTGGGAATTCAAGTGCAGTCGGTTGTGACTCTTCCAAAACGTCTGTTCTTATTACTCATCTGAATCTCTGCTTAAAGGCTAAGTCACCTAGAGCCCACCAAAATACTAAAAAGTTGATAAGGATGACACAGCCAGAGGCACAGCAGAGACATCGAGGCTTCATCCGGTCGCACTTCCATGAAAGACATCCTAGAGTATCCTTCTGTTAAGGGCTCAAAAAGCTCCTGGATTAAAAAATGTCCCAAATAAAAATCATGCACTGCAGGTGAGTTCATTTTATTGAAGCCCTTTAGAAGTTTTCTTCCTTAACACCCTTTATTTTTTAAAGGGAACGGGTGGGAGGGCTTTTGGTTTGGTCGGTCCCCACACTCGCTCCTCCTGCCACCCTCTCCGTTCGTGTTTCAGAGCTGTGTGAGCAGCAAACGAGGTTTTCTCGACAAGTCTGACAGGACCTCAACCGCACAGAGATTGTCAGGAGGAGATAAAGCAGTTGAACTTTCGCTGGTGGTCATGAAAAAGCAGCCTTCTTAAAAAAAATTCCGATATACTACGACACGAAGTGCCTCGGCACGCCAGTAAAACCCACACGAGCTATTTGGCAGATGTAGTTTTGGTTACCGCTGATAATTAAAACCCAGATGATAAACCCTCGCGTGTGCTTTGCCCGTTTAACAGACACGCTGACAGCGCAACATTTTCAAGAGTTGGGTCAGGTGCGCGCCGGGAGGTTCTAAGAGAGTTTTCTGGATTGAATTTCCCTGTGCTTAACAGAGCTGAAGGGTTCGTTGCCTTCCACGCTCGGGCTCTATTTGCATACGTACACGCTTCTATCAAGCAGCAATATCAAGCCGCAGCTTACTTACGGTAAATACAGCCCAGGAAAGAGCAGAATGGCCTCCACCGTGTAAAAGCAGCAAGACAGGGCCCTCCAATCCGCTTTTGTAAATTCGAAAAGTGTATGAACAGTTAAGGACATTTCACAAAATCCTTTGAAGTTACTTAGCCAAACGTATTTTGCAACACCCAACGGTGTTTTGTTTCTACCCTTGAGGACCCAAGGCTTCATTTCTCATCAACAGTCACGTGCGAGCATAACGCAGACAAAACTCACTTTATTTAAGCTTCAAGAGTTGTTTTCCTGCTGTGCAAGTCTCCTCCTCCCTGTAACCCATCTCCTCCCCATACCCGTATCCCTGCTGCACACAACAGTGAAGTGAACAACCAAGAGAAAAACCAAACCACGAGCAGCACGCGCTTCGGAGCGTCTAATTTTGATTTTCTTAGTACTTCCAAGGGAAAACATCAGATAAGCCAATAAATAAGATTTTTAAGGTAACAGAATTACTCTCTGGAACATAACACAGCAAAGGTGCTTCACCAGGGTTGCTAAAATCCCCTTACGGCGTGTATCTGCAGAAGAAACAGTTTAACTGTTGCTAAAATCACTTAGGGAAAGGCACAGAACAGGGAATTGTGAGATTTGAAACTGCGTGAAACTGCGACCAACAAGTCACTTCACCTCCTTCTGCTGTTCTTCTGCTCTTGGGGTGGACAAAAGTCTTCCTCTGAACCGAACTGCCGTTAACTGACGGGGCTGCTCATCCTTTTTCTGCTCCTTCCACGGCACACATCTGTCCACAACCTTTCATAGGGCAGCTCAAGCCTCTCTTAAAGGTTATAGGTACGCAATAAATCCCAAACAACTAGGATTTGCTTAAATTTGGGATGCTTACATACACCACATATCCAAACAGGTCCATTATCCTTTTTATTTTATTATTTCTGATGCCTCACGGGTGCGCACGGCCCTTACACCGGAGGCACATACCATGAAGAATTCATAGGATCAATTGGACAAGTGCAGTTAATAGACACAAAATAATGACAAGCTGAGGAAAACAAGGAGAATTTTCTCATTTCAAAGCATCACGTGCTACTGGCTTTAGAGCTGGTGATTACTAAATTAGTATCCAGAGGGAAATAGCTTGAAATTTTGGTTCTCCTAATGGCCAAGCTAGAATATGTATGCTTAAAAGCCACGCAACTATTTAAATGACACGGCTGTGTTTTTTAAAAACAGAGTAGGGTGTTTTCGTTTTGTAATTAGGCCTAAAGACCTGGAAGTACCTCTCAAACCTGCTTTTCTAAGAGCTTTAGGCAGAGGTAGGACTGATGGGAAGTTTTGTCCCAGTACCTTCACACACCATACTTGCTGGGGTGCTCCCAGTTAGCACATGGTCCAGATAAAACGGAGGTTTGAGCATTTGAAAGAGGGTGACTGTCATCAGCTGGGTTAAACAACAGCTGGAAAGCTGGCAGAAAGGAGTCAGCTTGAAAAGAAGTATAAAAAAAATACTAAAATCAACATTTCCAGAGGGGCAGTGATCTTGGAGAAGACAGAGGCACAGCCAGAACTTGGTTGGACGCTGCCAGAAGACTCCGATAGTCCACCCCCCCCGCCGCTCCGGCCAGAGTGAGAAGCGTCCCCGCTGCGCACCAGCAAGCAGGCTGACAATCTGGGGGGCAACACGTAGGGACCCCACACCTCGGGTACATGTATGTGACCTCATGTGGTGCTATCTCGGTGTGATCTGCCCTTGTGGGAGCAGCACGGATAACATCCACATCTCCCACTGGAGATGGGCACACACAGGAGATCCCACAGACTCAGAGGAGGCTCCTGTGCTCGTAAGCGCATGAGGGTGCATAGGTTGCACTTACAGAATCACAGAATGTTGGGTGCTGGAAGGGACCTCCAGAGATCCCCCAGTG